ATTGTTGTTGGTCAAAAGCACTATGTCGGAACTGTTGGCGGATTCAGACGAAACCTCAGCTTTGTCAGATTTGAATAGACTTGCCAACTACTTTGCTACAGAAGTAGGGTTCGTTACTTCAACTCCGTTGCCATTAGTTCTTTTGGGGACTGTACGGGTTCAGCCGGAGGACTCGGTTCAGTCTCATTTCGCATCCCCTTCCCCTCTTTTGTCAAAGCTTGATCGTTTTTTCAAGTTGTTGCGTTAGTTCATTTTTCCTTATATTCACTTTATCTGAAGATGATGAACTATAATGATTGTCAGGGTCCAGGAAAAATGAATCCAAAGATTCAGAAGATGGTACCAAACACAAAAAAGGAAATGCATTGCCTCTCCGAATGGATATACTGATTATTTGAATCAAGGGGATGAAGTTGCTCTGGGGTCATTAGTTTCTTGGGTGATACGAACACCAATTTCTTTGGTGGATGTTTCTGCCTGGGACCGAAGGAACCAAACGTTTCTATACCAATAGGATAAAAACTATAGTTGTCCTTCAAACAAGAATAGTTTCTTTACTTCAAATCTATTGCTGCTGAACTAATGGAAACGGAGGTTGATGATAGATGAGACGGGGCTAAAAAGTCGACAAAGGTGAAATACCAAAACTATAGTTTGTCTCGCTGCCAAGGAATAAATGACAAGCCGTCGAGGCGTTTATTATCATCTCTCACGGTACCGACTGTTTCTAAAATGGAAGGCACTCTGGCAGAAGCTAGGACTCTTTATGCCTCGAGAAACGACCTGCGCCAAATTTACAGCTCAATCCATTAATACCTTTGTAGTCAACTACAACTCCACATCTACATACTGAACACAGATACTGGAGCCCTAACGAAAACCAACGGCTATCCTTGATGACTCTTTATCGAATAGTGTACCGGGGGATGCAACAGAAAGGGCATTCCACCACGCAGAAGCAAATTTTGATAAAACTGCTTCAAGACGCGTCTTTTCCTAAACATTTGAAGCATAATCCAGCAGTGAATCATAGGTAAGTTTAATAAGTGGAAGGTCCTAAGTTTGTTGTACTTCTTTTTCTTCCTTTGATATAAAGAAACCAGTTCTGGTGTTCTGCAGAAGCTCAGCTTCTTGAAGAGTTTGATCGAAGGGAAAATATGAAGGAAGAATGTATTCTGTGATATGAACAACGCTATAAGTAGGAGAAATAAAAGCGGGAGAGAGGGAGGGAAGTCGGTCTTGCACCTACTGATATAATTTACTTCTTATTCTTTGGAGACGCAACTTTTTTGGTTATCGAAGAAAATACTAATGCAGGGACCATTTTCGCGGTTTTTTGTTTTGTTGCTTTCGGCTTTTTTGTTGGCTCTTTGTTTGTTTTTTTGGTTTACTAGGAGAAGTCGCGAAGAAAGCGATGTAGATGAACTTGTCCTTAGCTAGTACCATTAATGAAACTTTCTGGGTCGAAATAGCGCTGCTGGGTGTTGGATCGCCAGTCCATCTAGCTGCGTTACAGAGAAAGCAGTAGTGAAAGACAGAGGTAGGATGATTTTCCTTCAGCTTTGCAACTGACTACCTTGGGGAGGAGAGTCTTGGAGGAAGTTCTGTGAGAGTATCTCTGATTTACCTCGCAGCGCAAGAATTCACAAGATTCTCTGTAGAGAGCCGACTGCTGAAATTGGGTCGCTCAAACGACCCGATGGAACATTTACGAACTCTAGTAAAGAAACGTTAGAGCTTCTGATAGAAAACCACTTTCCTGGAAATCTGACTCTTGATAACAACAGACTGCCCATCTTCGAAGGCGCTAAACGCCCAAAAAAGAACGACTGGGACGTCACAAGAAAGGTTATCACAGCACCGGTATTTGAATGGGCTATCAAGTCTTTTCAGCTCTTCAAATCTCCCGGAGAGGATGGTATATTTCCAGCTCTTCTTCAAAACGGACTGGAAATAATTTTACCTATTTTCACAAAATTGTATAGAGCTAGTCTGGCGTGGAACTATATACCACCCAGTTGGTTGGTAGCAAGGGTGGTATATATACCTGAAGTGGGCCGGAGAGACCCACACCCCAAATCGGTACGACCAATCAGCCTTACATCCTTCCTGCTGAAAGGACTTGAGAGGATACTGGACGGACATATCTGGAGGGTAGCATTACATGCATCCCCACTGAATAACCACAAGTATGCTTATCAAACCGGCAAATCAACAGATTCAGCATTAAACAACCTCGTTGAGAAAATTTCCCAATCCCTTGACAACAAGGAGATTCCGGTCGCTGTATTTCTTGAAATTGAAGGAGCATTTGACAATGCACTACCTAAATCTATAGGACTGTCTCTGGCTAGGAAGGGTATAGAATCGACCATAACTGGCTGGGTCTATGCCATGCTAGTAAACAGAACTGCAACTACGACTCTTCAAGGCGAGGCAATCAGGTTCGGGGTCACCAGGGGCTGCCCTCAAGGTGGGGTACTATTTCCCCTTCTGTGGTCGCTCCTGGTGGATAGTCTGCTTGATGCCCTCGACAGAAGAAAAGTTGATCTGCAAGCTTATGCAGATGACCTTGTCATCCTGGCAAGGTCCACGTCGGGAAGGGTAGCTTCTAATATCCTCCAAAGCGCGTTGGACGTTGTTTACAGTTGGTGCCTGAGGGAGCAGATGTCTGTCAACCCCAGCAGAACTGTGTTAATCTACTTCACCAAGAGAAGGAAATTGGACGATCTAACGCTACTTTCCCTCAATAGTGTGGTCATTCCATTTGGAACGGAGGTGAAATATCTTGGCATTGTCCTTGATAAAAGACTTACCTGAAACGCTCACTTGGAAAAAGTTTTACACAAAACCAGACTGTCTCTATGAACATGTCGAAGGATTTGTGGTAAAACTTGGGGTTTAGGTCCCAACCAAATCCATTGGATTTATGTGATCAGACCAATGATCACGTATGGTGCAATTGCTTGGTGGCCGAAGGCTTTACAGAAAACAGCCCAAGCGATGCTCTCTGGCTTACAGAGACAGGCTTGTCTGGTAAGCCAGTGGTACCATCAGTACCACACCGTCAGCGGCCATGGAGATCCTTCTAGAGCTACCTCTTCACCACATTTTTTCTGGAAATAGAGGCTAGATGAACTGTATACAGACTCGTACACATTGCCAATTGCACAAATTAGTTCAATGCATAGTGCAACAGACTGTTGGTTGACATTGGAAGTCACAGCATTCTGGAAATGACCTCTGACTTGCCTCCAACTGTCAACTACGAACTGCCTTATAAAGTACTATTCTACGTAGACGTGTGTTGCTCATCTAGGACAGTACGTAGGTTCTTAAGCATGTACACCAGTGTATTCAACTTATTAGAAACATATATGCAGTGATTTCTGAAATTCAGACTTTCATCAAGATACATTCCTAGGAATTTAACTGTCTCATCTTGCTTAATACAGCTGCCCTGAATACAAATGTTGATAGTTGTGAAATCTGATGAATCTCGTTTTAGTGCTATTCAGAAATGAAAAGTTCTCACTGAACATCTGCTAGCATTATTCAAAATACTATTACATTTGAATTCAAGAACATTATCTAATTTTTCATATATCAAAATTGAAGTGTCGTCCGCATAAAAGGATATCGCATCTGCAGAGATACACCCAATTTCATTCAGATATAATATAAAGAGAACAGGTCCCAATATGGACCCTTGCGGTACCCCATGACGCTCTACTGAATGGTCACGATAGAAAATACTGACATATTGCTTCCTGTTTTTCAAGAAAGTGTCTATCCAATTTAAAGGTCCTTCGCATATACCGTAATTGGGTAACTTAGCAAATAAGGATGAATGTTTAACGCAGTCGAATGCCCTGCTCAGATCGCAAAAAACTCCAACAGGGCACTCGCCTGCCTCAATATATTTCACAATATCGTGATAAAATGAATTCATGGCCGTAATTTTTGATTTATGGTTTATAAATCCATGTTGATTCTGATCCAGAATATTATTTACTTCCAAGAAAGCACTCACTCTATTCAAAAAGGCATATTCAAAGATTTTTGACAGGGACATAGGAACTGTAATTGGTCGGTAATTAGACATTTCACTACTGTCTTTGTTTTTATAGAGAGGTGTAACTTTACCAACCTTCAAACTGTCAGGGAATATTCCTGAGCAAAATGAGAGATTGACCAAGAAGGTAATTGGTTTTATGATATATTCTAAAATTCTTTTTAGAAGAAAACTGGGAACTCCATCGGAGCCTGAGGATTGTTTATTTTTCAGCTTACTTATAAGTAAATCAAATAATTCCTCTTCAGTATATGGACACAACAGAAACTTAGGTTTGGTAATATTTTTCACGTCTACCTCTTTATTTGTTTGCTTAGTAAGATGTGGTAAACCATTTAAAATTTCTTGAGGAATTGTTTTCAAATAATTATTAAACTTATCAGCAATCACGTATGGATCCGTTACACAATCGTTATTAACTTTGATTTCTAAATTTTGACATTTTCATAGGGAAAAATGTAACCGCCTTCACTATTTGGTTATTATTTTTTTTTAAATTCAATGAAACATAACTAATTTCGAGAAAGTGAAACCAATCTATTTTTCAAAATCAGAAAATAGTCTGATAATCTCTCAATTACAACGCAAAACCCCGCCATTTCAAGCGAAACTACGCAACTCCACTACAAATCTGTTGTATAAGTTGTTTATCCTGACTAGTGAGAAAAAAAACACTCAAATCGAAAGTCCGACGCTCCCACGGAGAGAAAAAAACAACAACTTGGTTCTGGCCGTCCATGTGCGGAATATCGATTCTCCCTGAACATAATGGGGTAGTTGACCAAGTGAAACAGAACGGGGGGAAATCAATGAAAAGCCGCCGAAAACGCTCTGGGAGGCAGTAGAATGGGGCGTGTCGTGGGTGAAGCATCGCACGCCTATGAATTTTCACGTAAATATCGCATCTGGAAACGGTGGTAGTTCTTCGAGAGGTCCGGAGCCTTTGGAGATGGTGAGATTCTGCGAGATTGTGTTCGGCATCGACAACCACAAGACGTAGTGATGGATTTTTGAACGAAAATGATTCAGGTTAGTCGCACTTGTTATGGATAGGATTATGGAAAGGATAGGATTGGTTTGACAATAACTTCACAAACATTGGTTTTTTGAAAGTGCAAAATTGATTCAGACTTCGACTTTTTCGCCTTTGCCAACGTGCAAAATCGAGAGCTACTGTGAAACTCCAAGTGGGGAGCCCTCCTTGCCATATGTTTATATAAAGGTATTTTATCTTAAAGTCATTGTTTACATTCGACATATTCTATGCTTTTCATTATCATCATTATCAGTAAGTTTCTGTGTTGGAAATTGAAAAACTCCATTTCAAAGAAATGGAATTGAAAGTAGTATATGAAAACTCCCTGGATTGCAATAGTTTATGTATCTATAGTGATATCTGTAGAATATAATTAACATCTCATTTACTACCTTATACCTAAATTTCAAGTGGTATACCAATAGAAACATATTCTACCTGAGCATCAATTTGTTCTTCACATACAAGGGTAGAGAATGTCTGGATGATTGTTATTTTTTTATTTGGTTCTTTGTCCAGTCATTTTAGGTCGATTAAGGCCTGTATTTCGGAAAGTTGACATACCCAGCTGTAAATTTGTATAAACTTTGTATTTTGGCATCATAAAAGTATTCTCAAAATTCACATATGATTCGACAGCCGCAACTTCAAAAATTGAGGGTTGAAAGTCAAAAAAAAAACGACTTTTTGCACGTTTTTTGCCAATATCTCGTTTACAATAGGTTTTGTGATTATTGTATTCATTATCAATATTGTAAAGAATTAAATTCTCTACAACTTTTGTACCAAACATTTTTTCATACGTTGAATCGTTTCTGAGATAGAGGGCAGCGCGAACGCAGATTAAATATTATTTGAAATCAACTGATTGTCCTGATCGAAATCAGCTCATTTAAGGTTTATAAATTATTACTTAGTAAATAATTATATCTTCAATATGAATTAAGTCCGTATCCAACATCGCTATTTCATAATGATGATATGAGGAAAACCACGAAATCGTCACTGTATGACAATATGTCACCTATCAACTTTAATATCGATGAAAATAATGCAACGTTCATTATTGATATTGTATTTAGTAAAGCAAATAGCAAAAATAAAGAAAAGCTGATTACTATGCTTATTAAAAAATTAGAAGCTATTGACATCAACACTAAACAGGCCAGAGATGATGCGGATGTTCTCATTATTGAGACAGCTATTGAATAATCTAATTGTCAATGAATAGCAATAATAGTTGGTGAAGATATTGATTTACTTGTGATTTTAATTGGGCGTACACTATCTCTTGAACAAGATATTTTCTTCAAAAAAGTTGGCAAAGCAAATGTGAAAACGGAAATCTACTCCTTCACGCTTTAAGCGGCTGTGATGCGACTTCAGCGCTCTTTGAAAAAAGAAAAAAAAAACGTTTTTAAGAACATTCGAAAAACTATCTAATTTGGATGAACTTGCCGCGGCATTTGAAGAATAAAACTGCCGGTTCAAAGATTATTTGATAGTGGATTGCAAACTTCATTAGCTGTTTATAATGCTCCAAAGTCTGTAGATACTATCGATCATCTTCGTTTTGCACAATATGCCAAGTTAACAAAGCTCAATAAACCTGTGCAGTTATCAAATATCCCACCAACAAGTGGAGCAGGTGGTCCAACATTTTAATCGTGTTTATTACCAAGTTCAAACTTGGTTAGGACATGATTTGGAACCCCAGGAATGGGGTTGGACAATGCGTAACGGATTGCTAGAACCTATCACAACCATTTTACCACCTGCTCCAGATGAGTTACTCCATACGATATTCTGTAACTGCAAAAGTGGTTGTGGTTCAAGATGTGGATGCAGGAAAGCTAGGTTGCAATGCTCTTCAGCTTGTGGCCAGTGTAATGGGCAAGCTTGTCTTAATGCTGTACCATATGAGACCGATGTTAACGAAGATAGGTCCTTTGATCCAGAAATCGTGGAAGAATTGGAAACGAATCTAGGTGAAGATGGCAGAAGATGATAACGTCCTTGAATTTTTACAACTGCGAGAAGATGACGATGATGAAGAAGAAGAAAATGGAAATTAAACCTCATTATCCTTTCAATTATTTTATCTGTTTTTTTAATTTTGACATTCACAAATGTATCAAATGAGATTTTTTAATAAAAATATTATTTAAAATTTTATTTCTTTTCTATTCATTTTTATTTATTAAAGAATAATTACTATAGATTAGATTTAAATTATGATGTAATATATATTTTTCCCTCTACAAATTTATGACTACACGGGCAGGTAAGTGTTATTAAATAAATTGATACTTAATTGAAAATAAATAATTAATGAAAAAAATATTTGAATATAATGTATTTGTTAATAAAAAATGAATATTATTTATAATTATTCATTAAGTAATAATGTATAAACCTTAAATGAGCTGATTTCGATCGGGACAACCAGTTGATTTCAAATAATATTTAATCTGCGCTCGCGCTGCCCTCTATCTCAGAAACGATTCAACGTATGAAAAAATGATTGAAACAAAAGTTGTAGAGAATTTAATTCTCAAATTGACCCCTAATTTTTGAAGTTGCGGCCGTCGAATTTTGAGAATACTTTTATGATGCCAAAATACAAAGTTTATACAAATTTACGGCTGGGCAAACCCCCTAAAATGACTGGTCCACTTTGGAATGATCAAAAGATGAATATCGAAATTTCTTATGTATACAATACATTTAGCAAGTATAGAATTAATTTAAAAAATGAACTTTCAAACCTGATAAATCTTGATGAAGTTTTCTGGATGACAAAAAAATCACTGAAATAAATAGTTTTGTGTAAAACATTACATAATTAAAGTTTACAGCTGCTCACATCTTAGTTGATTAAATACAAACTGACAACCACCCCTATTCATAAAATAATTTAAATTTATTTCGAAAAGTGTTCACATATTCCAAAGCACTCATGGTGATTCATCCAATTTGTTCATTACATTAGTTGTATTATATACGTATTGTATTTAAATCAAAAGGAAGCTCTTTTGGAGGGATTTTTTTTGGAAATTATATTTCTTCATCTTCATACAAAAGATGTAGCGAACTTTTAAAGGAAGGGAGAAAACAAAAGGTGATTTCAGTGTAAATCAATATTCATATGAAGGTAGTTTCGAAAGAATATTTTCTCTCGTGCAAATCAATGTTGTTTCCAGGTTTTATTTAAAAGAAACGTCTTTCTGAAACGTTTTTTGTTGAAAGCTAATAACTCCAACCAACATAATATCATGAAGGCTATGTATTTACTATTCTAACATCAAAAAATACTAACAAACTCATAGTACCACCACTGATCCCAATAAAGATACCAAAGAGTGTATTCGTCATTAATTAACAAATACAATGGAGAAATACCTATAATTTATAGTGAAATTAAAACAATCCAGAACAATTCTTCAATCGCCCTCTTTTTATTTTGATTAGAGAAAACATAACCTTCTATGGTCGCAAGTCACTGTGAGTTGTTGAAATCACAATGAATCTATTATGTCTGTAGATAATTTATTATTGTCAACAATTTCGATTTTTGAAATTATTAACAATATTCATCCTATGGGATGACCCCCCGCTCAGAGGGTTGAAGTTCTTGTAGTGGTTTTCGGGTCAAAACTAGTCCTCCTCACAAACAAAGTAGGGTTTTGTAATTTTGGTCATATGGGAAAAGCTCTTCAATATAATTGCTTAATATTAAATCACCCTCCTGGAGACTTTAACCCTCTTTAATGTTTATGTATAAACTGGTAGAAATCTTCCAACGGAGTCTCGAGAGAGATTACCAAATTATTCTGAGCTCGATCAGGGAATTGAATACTAAAATGAGAGCGTAAATTCTAAATGGAGAACAAAATGAAAAGTATACCTTCAAAACAACAAGAGAGAGTAATCAACAGTACAAACCGAGTGCTACCAAACTATCTGATAAGATAGTATACTCTTGACGTTAAAATAAATAAAATTTCTGGCTGACTTCACACTTTTATATATCTATTTAATTGCTAAGCGTATTTTGTCAGCAAGATTATGCAGAAAAAATGTCGAGAAAAAAGAGAATTAATTCGGAATTGGAAATTATCTACATATGTTTAAGTGAGTTCAGTGACTGAGTTATTCGTGAATGGAGTATTTTGTCGACCCATAGATGGCGGTGTCTTTATGAGGAGATATGTCAAAAATGGTCATTGTTCATAGAAAAACATAATAATTCAATGTGAAACGTATACATAAAAATAGAGGTTAACTCCGAGTATTGAGAGCAATGAACGAATATATAGTCATTTCCGATATATTTGCAAGTATTCATTGAACAATACTCAAATTAAAATAATATTGTTGATTTTTCTATACTTCATTTCCTTTGCAAAAATGTCATCATGCATTGTCATGATCTCACAATGAAATACGATGATTTTTACACTATAAACTCGCCTAACAGCTAGAAATCTTTCTCCCGAAACTCAGTAGGCTATTACTGAAATACCTAGGTGTCAATTTGTTGATTTGGTTTTATGAATCGCTTCGTGAAGAGAAAATCTATTTGAAAAGTTGTTTGTTTTTTAACATGAATAATTTACTTCATATGAAACGGAGTATTGTTGATTTTTCAGGTGAATCTCTATTATTTTCCCAGAAATAACATCGTTTCAGGGAAGTTTCTGTAATTGATATATTTTCAATATGAACTGCAAAACTAATTCAGAAACGCTAACAATTACAAAGCGATTTGTGTATATAGTCAATTCATTACGATTTTCATTTATTTTTAGGAAGGTATCAATTGTCTTTCCAAAAACTGCATTGTTAATCTATTCGCATATGTTTTAAACAGGTGTATGAACAATATGTGCATCGTGGTGGATGCTATGCTACAAAGAACATCTAGATACAATAGGATATAATCTTACAAACGACTCATTTTCAATACTTGTAGATTGTAGATTGTCTAAACGTTCTTCTGAATCATTAACAGGGAAACACTAGGTGTTTGTTTGGTTTATGGCCCTATTAGGGGTCTTCCATTGAAACACCACTCACTCAATTACTTCGAAATACAAAAATTCACTATCTTTATCAACTTTTCCTAATTTTCATTCCGCATTTTTGAAAACTCGTATTTCCTTTATAGAAGATGGAAAGCATTCTCTGTTTCCAAAGCCCCAACGTGTGTTTCACTATGAAATATATCCCTTAAGAGTGGCCAACACAATGAAATGTATATTTCATGTTTGTCTGAGAAAGCCTGAGAGTAATAGTGAAACACTTGTTCAGATTTTGTAAACTGTAATATGAAAATTCCACAATGACCTGTTATTTAAAACACTCTTTCGCCCTGGTATTGCATGAGAGAATTCAATTTTGGATTCATAACATCCAGCACATTAGTAAAGTGTAAATGGAACATGTATGTAATCAATTTAATTATTTCCACCGTTAGTCATTTTAAAAATTGTTGGAGTGGTTAAATTCATTACCTAAATACAAATGTTATTCCATTATCATATCCTATAGTCCTCAGGAAGATACGACTAGAAAAAATTATGAATGAACTCCTAATTCAAAGCTTCGATACCCAAGTTATTTCCCCAGTACCTTCGAAACTGAGATCAAGATTTGGAGAACTGACAAGCACTTGCTCTTGATGAGATGTTGCAGTTAGGGTCTCTTAGTAGACATCAATCTCCTCTGTAGACTTGGGGTTCTTTGGTATCTCGAAGGTTTTGTTGGTGGCATCCTTTTAAAACGGATGCACATATCTCAGGGTGTAGTCGTCATTTAAGAGGACTCTTACCTTCACCAATGATACCTTATCCGGCAGGGGTATTCTAATACCCCACGCTGTAGGACGAAGGCGACAAAACACGTTACCTTGTAATAAGTAAAGTGTACCTATCAGCATGCCTTTAACGATTTATTTTTGCGCTGAGTGTCGTTTTTTGTTTCAGTGAACCATAATGGAAACAACTGTGATTTTATCAAGGACTTATTCGTCGAGAATCGTTCCCTTCAAAACGAACTTCCGAAGTCCCAGGCTAAAACTGAGACACAAGTCGAACATGAACCTGAACTTCAGCCACACGCTATCAAAAATCGGGGCCCCAAACTACAACTTCTCCCAACCACTCGACGCGAATATCACATACTGGAACCAAACTGACTTCTTTCACAATTCGACCAACAGTTCCGAGTTCGAGTATGACTACCAGGTGCTGAACAGTACCGTAGAAGATGAATCGTGGACCTCCTGCAAGGAATGGACCCCTGCGCAACACACTCTGTTTCAAACCGCCAATTTCTTCTTCGCTGCTGCCTTTCTCGTTCCGGGAAGCTTTAAACAAAGTGTTCTCTTAGTTAGGTGAGATCTGTGTTATTATTATACAGGTTGTTCCAAATTATGTCGGAACCATTACCAACTCCGTTGTTATTGATGATACGAATTCGGTTAAATGGGCAAACTAGTAGCATTTTTATTGGCCTTCGCGATGCTGAAAACAAAAAAATTGATAGTCGCGTTTTCAAAATATTGCATAAAATGACAATGACATCATATCACCCTTCTTCCTGAAGTTGAAAATGAGCGAGTTATGTGGAAATATTTATGTCTTTCACTAGTACAAAAATTTTCTTTGGTTAATTTGGAACACTCTGTATACATTTATATATGACCGTGTCTGCCATGAGAGTTGGCAAGTAGTCATCGATGATTATCTTTCGGATACCTTCACCATCAACGCTGATGTTTTCCAGGGATCCTTTATCACCCCCAACTATTTTTCATATCGTTGATTTTAAAACTAACGAAAACAAAATCAGGGCTGGTGATCCGTAGTCGAATGGAACCTCAAGTACCAAACGTTTGGCTTGCTACTACGGCACACATCATTAGTGGTATGCACCTTGACTGGAAGAACGAAAAATTGTTGGGGTTCGTGAATCAAGCGGACCGAACTACTGTACTTTTATTTTCGTAGAAGAACTGTTTCGTGTATGTTAATATATGAAAATAGGAAACTGACTTCAATATAAAGTTATACACACTTACAAACAACAACTTCAACTATTGTCACTATCCAGTAATTTGACAACTACAAACTATTCAATATTAGACATTATATACAGTGTCACAAATAATGAATTAATAATTCAAAGCTCCCACTAATTCAGTATTTGAGAACAAATAAAACTCAGTTCATGATGATAAATTGTTTTCCATTCCCATCAGGTAACGAAATCTTTCAAATATCCCCCTTGTTAGCGCTTTTGTGAACAGATCGGCTACTTGGTCGTGAGTGTTGATATTCACTGGATCGATGTCACCATTTTCATATTCATCACGTACAAAATGAAAACGTATGTCAATATGCTTGGTGCGTCTATGAAATTCTGGATTGCGTATTAGTCGAATGGCACATTGGTTGTCAATATGTATATTACTGTAGGACGACATATCACTTCTCCGATATCATGAAGTAATTGTTGTATCCAGATAACTTCTTTTGTGGCTTCTGACGCAGAAACATACTCTGCTTCGGTTGTCGATAAACTTATACTATGTTGTTTTCTACTTGCCCAACTCACATCTCCTCCACAAATTTTGAAAATATATCCTGTATTGGACTTTCTAGTATCGACATCGTTAGCAAAATCAGAATCTGAATAACCTGTCAGTTGATTGTCACTTGAACTGTCATATTTGATTCCATAATTTTGACTTTCCTTCAAATACCTGAATATGAAATGACAATTTCATTTCATCCAAAATAATTTCAATGGCGAACTTGTTCTTTGAAATAATTAGTCCATCGTCTACAAAAAGTATCAATAGAACTCTTGCCTGCTCCACTGTAGTTTGGTATACACATCTGTCTGCATAACTTGGACGAAAACCAAATTTTTTTAGAAAATCGTCAAATTTTCTATTCCCGTGGAGATTGTTTCAACCCATAAAGTGATTTCTTCAGAAAACATACATTATTTGATGAAGCATTGATTCCGCTTGGTATGTGCTTGTAGATTTCATCTTCTAATTCTCCATTTAGAAAAGCAGATTTGACATCGAACTGCATCATATCACATTTATGTTTGACAGCAATAGCTAATAAGATGCGAGCTGAATCGTACCTTGTGGTGGGTGAGAAAATTTCATTATAGTCGGCTCCTTGCTTTTGTGCGAAACCTTCAGCACATAATATGGCTTTGTAACGAGATATAGTTCCATCGGGGTGTCTTTTAACTTTAAAAACCCATTTTGAACCAATTGCTTCTTTATTGGATGGTAATTCAGTTAACTTCCAGGTGTCGTTCTTTTCTAAAGCATCGAATTCTTCTTTGATGACATCTCTCCAGCGGTGTGACTCTGCATTGCATGGCTTCTTCGTACGTGTTTGGAACATCTATGTCGACGTAGTTCAGCTCAAAATCTTCAAGATTTTGGGGAAGTTTTTTAGTTCTAACTGGACGTTGAGTTGAAGTTTCTTGTTCAATATTTTCAAAATCTAAATTCCCACTTTCACAAACTTCTGGCAAACGTGTCACATCGTCATCGTTTTTCATGAAAATTGGAATCATATTTTCTTGGTGCACGAAACCTTTGACACTTTCATTGAAAATGACATTTCTAGAAACAGTTATCTTTTTGCTTACAGGGTCGAATAGTCTATGATTAGTGAAGTTATGCCTTCATATCCGACAAAAGTACCTGTTGGGGTTCGTAAAAGAACTTTATTGTGTATGTTAATACATGAAAATAGGAAACTGACTTTAATATAAAGTTATTCACACTGACAATCAACAACTTCAACTATTGTAACTATCCAGTAAATTGACAACTACAAACTATTCAATATCAGACATTATATACAGTGTCACAAATAATGAAACAATAATTCAACAAAAATATATCTCGAAATCTCAGCCACGACTGACTTTGAATGGACAAGCTTCAATTTTTCGCATGATTCCGGTTTTTCTTTCACAAAACCAATTAGACTCATGGCCGTATTAGTTGTACAACTCTTTTACGAGGCAGACAGTCTGGAATCAAACACGCCCAAGCATTTTCAACACCAATAAAAGTTAATTAACATCAAAGTTGATAGAGAAAGTCTGCCTACTTTCACACGCTGACACAGATCGATATCTGCGAACGGGAAACTAATTGAAGTTTACGATAACCAACTTGCTCTAAATTTCTATTCATCCACGCCTACCTGTAAAGTATTTTCTAGAAACTGGAGCGGGTAATACAATTACTGTGCAGAACGTGTCACAAATAAGTCAATTAGAAATAAGTTGGTAGCGATTCCAGCAAACTTGAACATTACATTTCATTGTGGGTTAGAAAAGGAAACGTCTGAATTTGGCGAAATAGAAAATAATGATATGTATATGACCTATATGATGATGATATGTTTGCTTATCGGAACTCTCGAAAAATTACAAAGATTTCACTCTCTCTCTCTCTCTCTCTCTCGGAATAGTGGGCTAGAGTTGGGGGGGGGGAGCAGCAGCAAATCCACGTGTACATGTGAAAAATGATGCACCTTCACAGAAGCTTCCATTTCATTGATCTACCTTCTCCAATAACAACATCCAATAACATCATCAGGCAATAATCTCGCCCACGTTTGCAAGACCTCTAAGACATAATGCAAAAGTCACCTGAAGAGGTGACTTTTGCTGATGCCCACAAGCTGGTTCCCAACGAAGGGGTGATAGAATTCGTGTCTTACAGATGAGGCGGAAGGAAGAACATTAGATCTCCAAGCCGCAGCAGATACCGTTCACGCCGTTGATCCAAGTCTCGCAGCGGAAGCCGATCCAAGTCCCGTTCTAGCTCTAGATCTAGGTCACATTCCAAAGAGAACAACAGAAAAAGTCCCAACTCCAGATCCGAAGAAAAAAAGGCTCAATGAATTCCTTATTGCCCAAAAAATCTTCAAAAAAAATCAATTCGGATTCCAGGCTAAAAAAAAAACACCCAAGATGCAATTTTTTCCTTCCTGTATGAGGTATTTTCAGATATAACTGCCGGAGATGTAGCTTCAGCAGTATTTTGTGACCTAAAAAAGGCTTTTGACTGTGTAGACCACAAAATACTTTTGCGGAAACTACATTGCTACGGCTGTGAGGGAGTTACTTTGGATTGGTTCGACTCCTATCTAACTGGGCCCAGTCAAGTCGTAAAAAGTGATGTAACTTCAAAATACATTAATATAGATTATGGAGTGCCACAAGGATCGGTTTTGAGACCCACTCATTTTCTTGTATATATCAATGATTCACTGTGTATAAACACTTCTGAAAAAATTACCTTATTTGCAGACGACACCACCATTTTATGGCATAGTAAAACTGTTGAAGATCTGAATGATAAGATAAGAGATATAAATGTAATCAAGTCTTAGTGCGACTCAAATCTTCTCTTTTTTAATATAAGAAAAACAAATATAGTAACTCTCAAATGTAGTCTAGAAGATATACCTCTAGAAAATGAGAATATTGAAAATAAAGATTGCACACAATGTTTAGGCCTTTATATTGACAGTAAATTGAAGTTTGAAGCACAAGTCAACCAATTGAAGAATAAAATCTCCTCAGGGTGCTATGCAATGAGAATTATTTCAAGGGAACTTGGTACTGCCACGGCTATGAACGCATATTATGCATTAATTGAATCTCAACTGAGATATGCCATTCTTTTCTGGGGGGTATGTAACTCTAGTATGCTAGATTCAGTACTTAAACTGCAAAAGATAGCCATTAGATCTGTGTTCAAACTAGGACCGCGCAATTCATGTAAGCAGATTTGCAGAGAAAAATATATTGAGTTGTGGCTCTCTTTGTGATGGAAACTGCGTGTCTTATACACAAACATAGGTCAAAATTTGAATATATTTCTTCGTAACATAGCACTCCCTCAAAATATAAAAATAATTTTGAATTACCATTGCCTTCTTCATCCCTAGTAAAAGACTCCATTTTCTAAAACGGTGTTAAAATGTATAACCACTTACCGTCTCATTTCAGAAATAGCCACGATAGTATTGACAGCTTTAGAAAATACACAAAAAACTTCTCTCGAGCAGACCCTATTATAGTTTGTAAGAATTTTACAATGACAACTTCCAGTGAAATTGTGAACTGTCATCTGTAATTTTTTGCGGGTACTGTATAGCATACTCGATTAGACTGTTAAATTATGAGTCGTAAAATTGACAAAATGTTCAAATAACATTTTATGATTGATATTTTATTTATTCATTGACACTTCGTTTATTGAATAAAATTTGTAATTGATAAATGTATATGTATATGTATATTATATTTTTATTTTATTTATATTTTACATAATTGTGTGTATTTTGCCTAAATTTTATTTCTGTATGTGTAATTTTTACTTTGTCAACAAAACAAGAGTTTTTTCGACAATGAAGTATATTTTGATTTGATTTGAGAAACTGAGAGGCCAGCTTGCTTTCAGTTCAGACTTTTTCGAAAGAAGGTGTGAACACTCAAAATATTTAGAATTATTTTTTGTCTTCATCGTTATGAATCATTCTGATTTGAATGAATTTATTTGATTTATAACACTTTTTTAGTTGAAGGCCCCTGGATATTTGACAGGACGTAATTTCATCCCTATTTTTGTTGTAACCCCTAAATGTAATCATTAAATGAGTGTTCAATACTTATTTTATTTGTGTCAAAGCTATTTTTCGGGATTAGATCACGCACACTGTGACAGGACGAGATAGGACGGGAACATGACGGGACGTGGCCTTAGAGAGGAGCATGGCATCTGCCTAGCCCGCCCTGTTCCCGTCCTGCATTTACCTGTTCGTTGCCTGCCTTAGTACGCCCCTCCCCCCCCCACCCCAGAAGAAACTATAGAAAGACAAAATAAATTTCACGTTATGTTCCCGTCCTATGGCCATGAGAGCTTGTGTTCTTTGGTCATTCTAAAATGTACATCGTTATGAATCATTCTGATTTGAATGAATTTATTTGATTTATAACACTTTTTTAGTTGATGGCCCCTGGATATTTGACAGGACGTAATTTCATCCCTATTTTTGTTGTAACCCCTAAATGTAATCATTAAATGAGTGTCCAATACTTATTTATTTGTGTCAAAGCTATTTTTCGGGAGTAGTCTAACGCACACTGTGACAGGACGACATAGGACGGGAACATGACGGGACGTGGCCTTAGAGAGGAGATAGCATGGCACCTGCCTAGCCCGCCCTGTTCCCGTCCTGCATTTGCCTGTTCGTTGCCTGCCTTAGTACGCCCCTCCCCCCCCCCCAGAAGAAACTATAGAAAGACAAAATAAATTTCACGTTATGTTCCCGTCCTATGGCCATGAGAGCTTGTGTTCTTTGGTCATTCTAAAATGTTATTTTTCTTACACATTTGAATATGAGTTTGCCCATTAATGTAATTTCTTAACGTCTCTCAACCCCTTCGTGAACTTTGTTCCAGGGCCCTATTATCAATCGGATATTTTTTTCTCACGATATGGGGAGGAGTGGAAGTGTGCGCTCCAGATATCCTATTGTGGAATATGGCAATCGTGGTTCTGAATGCAGGACACACCGCTCTGTTGACGTGGAAGTTTCTACCGCCTACGTTGACCTTGGATTTGACAGAATTGTATCTCAAGGTAAGAATATATATTTATGATATACTGTTGTCCGGTTGAACCGCGTCTGTAATTTTCACCGTTTCGACATTTCGCCTCCTGCTTTGGAGCCATTTTCAAGAATCACTTAGATTTGTACGAGGGGGACGAGGGCGTAATGTTCCTTGTCCCCAAGTCTCGTTACTAGCTCTATGTTTGCTGTGTTCCACTCTAAGTTCGCACTGGTCACTCTATTGTTCGGAGCCCATATTTATATTGTTGTAGCAGGTATCTGGTTTGCCTTACCGGGTACCTGTGTTATCTTCATGTGTTGCATGACAACAATGTTCTCCATGTTTGTGGTAGTCTCTGCGAATCATCTCGCTTGTTGAGGCAGCTGGGACGTTTTTCAATATCGATTGCTTCCCAAATTATCCTGGCCTGAAGATTTTTCTCCGTAGCAATGGTCTTGGTGTTTTCGAAACTTGTTGTGTGGCCTATTTGAAGAGAGATGATGCTGGATGTGATTTGCGAACAGCTAGTTCATGTTCATAGGCTCTATTGGAAATTCTTCTATTGGTCTGGCCGATGTGAGTTCTAGGACAGTTTGAACACGGTATTTCGTATATGCCCTGTGCTTCATTGCGTATCGTGTCCTTGAGTGTTCTTAACAGAGTGGAGATTTGGTTGTTGACTGTGAATACTATCTTTACGTTATGTTTCTTCAGAATTCGGCTCACTTTGTCATCCATGGATGTAAGGGAGAAAAGCTTTTGTCTGGTTGGTCTGTTCCTCGAGTAACTCGTGGGGTGGGTTTTGTGTTTGCTGTCGTTGGATGGATAGTCGTTTTGGTGAAGGGCGGCTGTTAGTTCGTATAGTTCCCTGGATTCATTGTGGTTGTCAGTGAGTCTTATAGAACGATGTATGAGGGAATTCAGAACAGAATTCAGCTGGGTAGGATGATGATTAGACTTGGCATTGAGGTATCGGTTAGTATGGGTAGGTATTCGGTAGACCATATGTGAGAAGGAGTTGAACTTTGTGATGAGAACGTCCAGGAAAAGGTGTGAGTTATTATTTTCAACTTCCAATGTGAACTTTAGGTCGGGGTGTGAGGAGTTGATGTGGTTCAGGAATGCATGAAGATCTTTGGATCCATGGGGCCATATAATGAAGACGTCATCCACGTATCGGAGCCACCACGTGGGTTTGAGATGAAACGTGTCAATGACTCTGGTTTCGAAGTCCTCCATGTAGAGGTTTGCCACTGCCTGAAGGTATTACTTCAACTTTCTGCGCGGCATTAGCTGGGTTAGTTGTTGTTTATCCGTTGGGTATCTGTCACACGTACCTACAAAGTCGTAGGTCTGCATGAGAGGAAAGGGGCAACCTTTAGCATGTTATAATGCATCTCTCCGGAATATTAATCATTACATAAAATGTATATATATATATATATATATATATATATATATATATATATATATATATATATATATATATATATATATATANTTTGATTAGAGAAAACATAACCTTCTATGGTCGCAAGTCACTGTGAGTTGTTGAAATCACAATGAATCTATTATGTCTGTAGATAATTTATTATTGTCAACAATTTCGATTTTTGAAATTATTAACAATATTCATCCTATGGGATGACCCCCCGCTCAGAGGGTTGAAGTTCTTGTAGTGGTTTTCGGGTCAAAACTAGTCCTCCTCACAAACAAAGTAGGGTTTTGTAATTTTGGTCATATGGGAAAAGCTCTTCAATATAATTGCTTAATATTAAATCACCCTCCTGGAGACTTTAACCCTCTTTAATGTTTATGTATAAACTGGTAGAAATCTTCCAACGGAGTCTCGAGAGAGATTACCAAATTATTTCGAGCTCTATCAGGGAATTGAATACTGAAATGAGAGCGGAAATTCCAAATGGAGAACAAAATAAAAAGTATACCTTCAAAACAACAACAGAGAGTAATCAACAGTACAAACCGAGTGATACCAAACTATCTGCTAAGATTTTCATAGCATACTTTTGAGGTTAAAATAAAATTTCTGGCTGACTTCCCACTTTTATATATCTATTTCCTTAGAGGAAATTGCTAAGCGTATTATGTCAGCAAGATTATGCAGAAAAAATGTCGAGAAAAAAGAGAATTAATTCGGAATTGGAAATTATCTACATATGATTAAGTGAGTTCAGTGACTGAGTTATTCGTGAATGGAGTATTTTGTCGACCCATAGATGGCGGTGTCTTTATGAGGAGATATGTCATTGGTTTTGGTATCTAAGGCCAGTCCTTAAAGGAGACAAATGCATTCGTATTCCAGTTTAGCACTACTGATGAGACCTATGACGGGTCGAAACCGCGCTGTCTGAGGTTGGATCACAAATGCTCTGTTTATAGATTCTGGTTTCAGCTAGTTTGTTGAGATTATTTTTTGGGGGCACTAAACGTCACGTGGTAGCTTCGCGGACGGCGATCTTTTACTGTGTATTCGATTGGGCTGCGACCATGTGCAATAAATTCACATGTAATGCAAAATGACTCAAAAATGGTCATTGTTCATAGAAAAACATAATAATTCAATGTGAAACGTATACATAAAAATAGAGGTTAACTCCGAGTATTGAGAGCAATG